TTTTTTTTTTTTTTTTTTTTTTTTTTTTTTTTTTTTTTTTTTTTTTTTTTTTTTTTTCTATTCTAGATGTTATAAATAGTTCATCAAGGTAAATCGCACAAAATGCAACTACTCGGCTAGTAGAAGGCTTGCCGTGACAATAAAGACATACGGTACTACATCAGTGCCGGCGAGCCCCCTGTTTTCGTAATAGCGTCTTGTATTCTAGCCAAGCTTTTCACATCATTTCTATAATCACTTCTACACAAGCTTGAAAAACAAAAATGAGCCTCTAAGTCAACTAAAAATCAACTAATTGGTATATATATATGTATATAAATATAATTATGTTGTATATGTATATTATCATCAAAACAGTAGGCCGGAACGAAACTGTGTATATTAGACGCGATGATGTCGGCCCATCGACGCTCTTCTCATACGATCATTATACACTCGCTCGCTTGCTCGTCTAAACTTTGCACGAGTCAAGAATAAAAAAAAAAAAAAAAAAAAAAAGTTAAAGTATCAGCTTTTAGTACGTGTACTAATACAAGTTATCGATTGTCATGCAATGTCAAAGAAAATATATATAAGAAACAATAATCGTACAACTATTCATTTTACTCCGCTCTCTTTAATGGCCTTCTCATGTATCTACACAACGTACGCAATCGTTGTTCATTTATTTCATGTGATTTTACTTTTGCACAGTTTTCGTTGAACAATTTCTAATTGAATGTATAATTGGTGCAATGTTTGACATAACATCATCATTATCGCGAACAGTATCATAAATATTATATCATCGGTCACTCAACATTTTTGTATAAACATGTTATATAATATACTTTGGTGTGCAGATCATAGGCGTGTATAATATGCGTTCAGACAAGTAGAAGCCGATGCGAGCATATAATATATACGTACTCATCTAAATGTGTAAGTGTATTTTGATGGATGTGTGCTTCTGTGACGCGAAAAAGGGATTGATCCGCATCATGTACAATTAAGATTTGTTTTAGCATTCATATGTTGGTACTCTCTTCGTTACACGAGCCAAGGAAAAACAAGAGGTGTACAGGCAAAAAAGTAAACGTAATAGCTCGGTATCATAAGCAGAGAAAAGTAAAGTTTGAGACACAAGGGATTTTTTTTTTTTTTTCTTTTGGGGTAGAGGTACAGATTATATTATCGATCAAGGGGTCCACCGGTGTGAGTGGGAGTACGTGGCACGAGTATAGGGCGAAAGAGATGCGCTATTATGCACTTTAGAGCTAGGAGACAGAACAGTATATATAATATGTAGTATAGTAGTAGTAGTAGTAGTAGTAGTAGTAGTAGTAGTAGTATATAGCTGTCGATTGCTCTGGGTCTCAAGGCCGCGTCTTACCTCGAGGAGCTCCTGAGTTTGAGTGTGGCTCTGAGCTTGCTGCAGGTGATCCGGCTGATGCGCCGAGGGCACGACGCTCGGCTCGCTCGCCGAGGTCGTGCTCAGCTTGGTAGTCGTCAGAGTCATGGGTGTGGTGAGAGACGCGGGCGTCTGTTGCTGTTGCTGCCGAACCGGTGAGGGAGATCGACGCTGTTGCTCTGGCTGCTGCTGCTGCTGCTTTTGTTGCTGTTGCTGCTGCTGATAGTGTTGTTCTTGTTGCTGTGCCGAGGCTAGTGTCAGAGATTGGAGTATAGGCGAATGCTGAGTTTGGACAGATGCAGCAGCAGCAGCAGCAGCGGCTACGGCGACGGCAGTCGCGGAAGGCCCGTGGCTTATGATCTTCTTGGCGGTCTCGACGTCTAGGTCCGAGTGCATCATATCGCGGGATCTCCAACTGTCGCATATGGATTGTCTATTTTTCCATATGGTCGCCACGGTGCTGCTCGCCAAGCCAAGTTCTCGGGCGACGTCGCTCTTGCTCTTGCCGCGCTCGATCTCTTGGATGATCTTCATCTTCTGTTTGATCGTGAAAGCGAGCCGCTTACGACCCTGCGTTATACATTGCAAAGCGCGGCCGGACGTCAGTCCATCATCTCATTTTTCACTATACGTATTCGTACTTTTTTTTTGTTTTTTTTTTTTTCACGGTTTACATTTTAGGCATACATGGTCCCAGACCCCCTCCCTTCCTTTTTTTTCCACTACTTTTCATCACACTACTCTATATACCACCCTCCCTCCCCCCGCCCCGACGAGTCTTTAATCCCTTAAAATTTTCTCTCTCACTACTTTGACGCGCCATTCCTCCTTCTACATCTAATTTTTTTTTTAGATTTTATTATTTAATTTTATTTGTAAGTAGTCGAGTCATATCTGCGCATGTTGTGATTAAATAATTTTTTGTGGTTGTGGTGGTGGTGATGATGATGGTGTACAAGTGATTTAGAGTGACATAATATATATATATTATAATATAGTTGGTTAAAGCGTTGGCGTGTGATCTCACAAAAGTAAGTACATGAGTGTTTTTGGATTACTTTAATAATTAGTGATGCGATAACTGTTTGCTAGTATTATTGTTGTTATTATTATTATTGTTATTGTTGTTATTACTTAGTATTGTGCTCGATGATGAAATGCGTCAGTGATATAAGTTATGGTGGCGTGTATATATAGCTTTTTTTTATTGTGCAACGGGGGCACATTTTGTATATGGTACACGTGTCAAGTGCTGCTTATTAGAGTGTGTTCATTGCTAGTTAGTGATATCAGTTACTTATTAACAGAAAATTTTTCTTTTTTTTCCAGGAAACTAGGTCTGCGAAATACATTACAATTCAAAGATTTCTCTCTCTTGTACGAAACAGATTTTTTTTAAATATTATCAAAGAAGATGAATCATTTACATAAAAAAAAAAAGTTACAACAGCAATATCTGGTCAAAAATGACCTTTTTAATGAAATTTTTTTTTTTTTTACATATTAAGTTAATCAGGTAGAAAATTGAATAAATTGTTTGTTTGGAACTCAAGGGTATAAAAAATGATCAGATATTTTACAGAAAAACTAAGACAGTGACTGAGATTATTATATTATTATAGTTAAAATGTGGTATCAAAAAAAATTACAAAATCTCGATTAGTAATTGTAACCAAATTCAATGAAAAAAAAAAAAAAAAAATTTCAATTGTTACAAGTTGATTCTCCTGTCACTATCGCTAGCAAATTTTCTTAGGTCAATGTATTTGTGTAACACGTTTGCTGAGGTATGTTTGTGGAATATTTAAAAATAAATAGTATTCAAAGTAGTACGTAAATTCTTAATATCATATATATCTGTATGAATGTGTGTATGTATATATATACACACTGACGTCAATTACAAAAGGTACTAGATAATAATAATAATGATGGAAAGAAATACTTTCATGGATAAAAAGTATGAATATAAAAAAAAATATACGTATATTTTATATATATATGATACATAACACATAAAGAGCATGCGACACGCACGACAAGTTGATAAAAAATACAAAAAGTAAAAATCCCAAATAGAAAGTATTTTGTTGATGAATGAAGGAAAAAAAAAAACAAAAAAAAAAAAAAAAGAAACAAGATTAAAACTAGACGTGATTTAGAATGAGAAGGCGCACTTACCTCGAGCAATTGTTGATTCCGCAGCTCCCTTTCTCTCCGCACGGCCTCTTGCCTTTCCGTCTTTTCTTGCTCCTTTATCAACCTGTTGAATTCAAAGGTAAGGTTAAGTTCCTTCGTGGCCTCGTAATCCTCCCAAAACAACGTAACGCGCGAATACCCGTGTCGTCGCATCCTACCTGGCCTGCTCCTTGTTTCGTTGCGCTTCTTCCTTGGCCAATTTTTTCATGTACGCCAGCTTGTCCCGCTCAAACTGGCTGTTAACTTTAAACTCCCGAAAGCCACCGACGGCTCTGAGATCATCAAGCCTCCTCGCTACCTCTTGGGCGGGTAGCCTCACGAATTCGGCCTCCGCTAGGCCCATCGTCGGCTGCAGAAAGTCACCAACGAGTGGCCGCGAGGAGAAAGAAAAGTTGACCGCGCTCAAGTCCGAAACGTTCTGCAGCTCCAAGAACTGCAACCACGCCCACACGATGTACTTCAAACGTCAGTCCGTACGTAAAAGAAAAGAAAAAAAAAAAAAAAGTCCACACAGACCTTCAACAGTTCGGAGCTGTTTCTGAAGATCTTTCCACAGGGACTGTAGTAGGTGACTTCGCCCTTGATGACGCCCGTCCTGCCAAGGCCTCGGATGAGCGTCTCCCTCTTCCAGCCACGTTCGAGCGGCAGCTGCAGCAGTTCCTTCTCGTAGTGCTGATTGAGCTTGCGCTTCTTCGGCCCAGCCACGCCGTCGTTGTCGTCATCCGTGTCCGAGAGGACGTCGGTATTGCTGCCGCTCTCGCTGGTCACGTCCATGTTGCTCTCCTCCCCCGATACCTCCATCAGCTTGTTCTTCATCTTCTCCTGGAGCGAGCGCTGAAACAAGCGAGCACGAAATTAAATTTCAGATAAAGTTTTATAGGAAAGGAAGGGTATATCATACAGAGGATCGATAAAGAGAGAGGAGACACTCACCTGTTGCTGGCCCTTGTCGTCTACCGCGTGGCCGAGCTGACCTCCGAGAGCCGACGCGTGCTGCTGTTGCAGCTGGGCCGCGAGGATGTTGGACCTGAGCAGCGCGACCTGGTGCGAGAGCGGCACGTTAGGGTCGAGGCCAGGGGTAGGTTTGATGCCGAGAGCCCGGCTCTGGGCGAGCAGCGACGCTACCGTGTTTTTCTTCGGCTTGGAGACGCCCCGTCCGAGATTGCGGGGCCTGTCCTTGTGTTGGTGCTGCTGGTGCTGCTGTTGGTGATGATGGTGATGGTGTAACTGGTGGTGGGGCTGTAGGTGAGCCACCTGGGGGACGCTCTCGTTTTCCTCGCTGCCGCTGCTCGGGCGCTGAGGCGAGTCGGCCGCCGCGAAGAGCTGAGCAAGGGAGGGACTCGCAGCCCCCGGTCCGAGCGCTGCTGTCGAGTTCTGGGGTACCCTCCTGGGCTTTGGGCCGGGCTTGCGTCTCGCTGAAATTCGTTCACCTTCATTTTGCGTTGGCGTTTGAAAAAATCCGCTGCCACTAGCTGGCAGGGAATCTCTTGGGACTCTAGTCTACTTTGTCAAGATCACGAAGAAAATCGTTTGAAATTTCGTCAAACAAAAAGTACCCGTAAGCTTTACATCCAATAAAAATTGTACACTCATCATCCGATTTGTAATTTATGAAATTGGCCAATTTTTGATCGCCAATCACTTGTATTTGAAAACGTTTATCTAATTTAATTTCAAACTCCATATTTTATCCCTAATTAATGAAAAAAATGTGAAGATTACCAAATGAAGGCTCATAAAAAAATTCCTTGGCATGAAAAAAGGAATTCGAGGATGGAGGAAAAAAAGGGGGGCTAGGGTGAGAAAACTAACGACTCACAGGTCCGATCCGAGGCAAGCAGCGACTGGCTGAGATTGCTGAGTTGGCTGAGAGGCTGGCTACCGGCGATGGGCGAGGCCGCGTTTCTCGAGGCCGGCTTCAGCGACAGGTTGAGCGGCGCGTCCACCGAGGCCTCGGCACCGGGGATGGGACCGTTGCTAGTAGCACCACCGGCACTACTCCCCAAGCCGTAACTCGGGGCGGGCTGGAGCGCCCCGTTGGTCGAGTGGGTCGGCAGCTTGATCAACTCGACCCGGTCCAGCCCCGACTGCAGCTCCCGCTCTCGGTCCCTCTCGCGCTCCCTCATCGAGTAGTCCAACTCGTTTTGGGAGGCCAACGGCTGACCGGCTTGCCGCGTCCTCGAGCGGCCGTGCTGGTGCTTGCTCGGCTCGATAAGCAATCCACCGGCCCCGGCCGAGGACGGAACGGAGGACTGAAGGGCACCACCGCCCGCCTGGTGCAAGCTCACGGAGGGCGAGTCGAGCGATATGGTCTTTTTGCGGCCGCGATTCGTCGTGCCGGGCACCTTGGGCCCGACTATGCTCGAGGTGTACTTGATGATCTCGGTGTCGGGTGGCAGTCGTACCCCACCGAGGATGCTGCTCGGGTCGCTGACTACGTTCACGGGCGGCTGAGCCGGACTCGGGGCTGGACTCGGGACCGCCGGGACCGGGCTCGGGGCTATCGTCGTCACCGCGACCGACGCCGTCGACCCACCACCACCACCACTACTACTGATGCCCGACTGCTGCTGCTGCTGCTGCTGCTGCTGATGCTGCTGATGCTGATGCTGTTGGTGCTGCTGCTGCTGCTGCTGCTGCTGGTGCTGTTGGTGCTGTTGGTGCTGCTGCTTGTGGTGGCTGATCTTCGAGGATTTGGATGCTGGGGGGGGGGGAGAGGAGGAAAAAAAGTTTTAGCACCGTTCATCCAGATCGATGGAATGACAAATAATATAAATGGCATCGGCTTACCCTTGTGCGTCGACTTGTGGGCCGAGGATGACGAGGAGGTGGCAACGGAGTTGGTAGTTCCCGTAGCGTTGGAGATGGACCTCGTGGGTGAGTGCGAGTGCGAGTGAGCGGCGTGCGAGGCTGGTCCCGCCAGCAGTCCAGGTGGGTAGGGGGGCAGCAGGCCCTCGGCGCCGGGTGGGAAGCCGGGGAGGGCGGCTGCGGCGGCGGCTCCCTGTAGCCTGGCGAGGTACTCCTGGGTGGCGAGGTGGGTGGCCATGGACCACCAGGCGGCCGAGGCCGAGTTGATGCCAAGACTGGCGGCTTGGCTGGCGGCTGCGGCTACACCTAGGGGCCCGAGGCTGGCGTGCGGGTAGCCGGGGGCCGTGGCTGCCCCGTGGGCCGTGCCGAAGCTACCTGGGCCCGAGGCTCCACCCGGTCCGCCGGAGCCTGCCCCGTTGCGCCCGCCCAGGATCGCGTAGGCGGAGGGCAGGTGGTGCCCGGCCAGGCCGTAACCCGCGGGCATGCCGGGAAAGTCACCACGGGGCCAATAAGCTGGAAGAAAAACAGATTCACAAATTTGAGTTTTGTCTTTTTTTTTTCATTCAATCTTTGGCATATTTTTTTTCCATGCGTTTAGAATACACTTGTTAGAACCTTTGTTTGTTTCTTGCGTGCAAAAAATTTTTTAAAAAAATAAGAAAAATTATAGAGAAATTTCAGCAAAAATTACAGTAAATCGAATGCAAGCTGGCAAAAAAAAAAAAAAAAGAAAAATTATTATTTTTAACAGTTAAAATTAAGGGTTCGAAAATTAAACATTACCACAGTCTTAAACTTTAAAAGGATCGGTTGATACATTTTTTATTTTTCGGCATAGAAATTTTTACTCTTCTAACCATAATTGTAACTGTTAAAACAATGATTTTTACTGTTAAAATAATAACTTTTTCCTTCTTTTTTCAGCTAGAATCAGATTTCATGTGTAATTTTTCCTGAAATTTCTCTATAATTTTTGTTATTTTTGATTGAAAATAATTAAATTACGTCATAAAATGGCAGTTTTTGTTCGCGAGGAGAAAAAAAAAACAAAAAAAAACGCGTCTAATAATTTTCGTTAATCCACCTGATGGACCAAATATAATTTTACACTCACAATACCAGTTGTGCATAACTTTTGTAATCTTTTTTATAAACACGCAGTGCACGCCCCATCAACATTATTGCCTCCTAACTATGTCGTTTATTTTTGGGATGAAATTGTTCTTATATACGTGGATATAATTGTACAACCAATAGGTACACGCTCCTCGTCGATGTGCGTGGCTGTACCGTATTTGATAACATACGTTCACACATTGATCCACCGTAACGTTAAAGGGAAGGTCGTCGCGAGGGACGATTTCGCAAATGGGTTGAAATAACAAGTTTAAAGCAAGCACAAGCAGCTGAAAGCATATCTTGATGATTATTCAAACCATTACCTCGTACCCAAAGTGTGGCTGTACTCATCAAAGAGACAAAAATATAAGGCGCGCGTGAAATCTGTTAAAATATTCTATTTTTTGTGGAACCGTTTTAAATGATCAACATAAAACTTTTTGTTTTCATTGTTACTCCTCGACACTTGCCCATACGACTGTGTTGTAGTGGATTTTGTATGTTTAAATATATTTATTATACCTGTAGTAATGGCCGGTCGTTACCATTACCATAATCGATTCGCGTCCTTGAACCGCACCAAAATGACACCGTTGGTACCGATTACATACCACCGAGTACATAATCGACGACATCGTTATATATTATTACGTGCTTCGGTATATTTTACGACGATGTCATCCTTATACGCATACGTTCGTACGTACATAAACATACATTTAAATGATCCGCAACCCCTTCGGCGTAAAGAAAAAGAAACGAAAAAAAAAAAAAAAGTGACTCATCCACCCCCTATACGCTTAATATAACAAGTACGCCCATTTATGAATATTGAATAATTATTTGTGATTCATGCCACTCTTTTTTCTTTTATCGTACCTATATGATCGTGAATGATCATGCATATAGGTGAAATATCAATAAGATATAGGTAGATGGGCCACTTGTAACAGCAAAAATAGACATCCGGGGAAGGGGAGGGGGGGTGGGTGGGATTACGCATCACGAGACACTCTTTAGACCGACCGCAAATTGTGACACGCGAACAAAATCATGACAAAACGACAATATAATTTATAATATATAGCCAAGGTACCATTCTATATTTGCCTATATACCCATTACACGTAACGTATATATATATATATATGGGTATCGTAAATTGTATAAGTAAGTATACCTATACATAATTGCATTTGCACCCTCTCCGGAGGAGCAACAATCATAATCGTATTCCTCCCAGCAAGTAAGTATATACATACATACATACAAATAAATATTGTATATGATACTAACTACCTAAGTACATCACGCGCGTTATACCGTATATATTATACAAATGAAGCATAAACGCATCTGCGGAGAGTTAGCTGCACTGTATTACATGTATGCCTGCAAGTGTGTGAGCCAGAGAGACACCCAAAATTTGTCCCATTCGTCAATATACCTATACTTACGCGTTATGGGGAATTTCTTTCTCTTTTTATCTTCCTGTAACGTATTATACTCTCGTCCGAGCTGCTCGCGCGCGCGGGTGTACATATATATATACACAAGGGAACCAGAAAGTAAAGTAAAGCAAAGAGAGACACGCAGAGAGAGAGATATAGAGAGGCGAGTCGTCGGTGGTGGCAATCAATAAATATACACAGAGGAAGGAGGAGTAGAGAAAGCCATGCAGCCCCGTAGGTATAGGTATATTATGCGTATATGAGAGAGAGAGAGAGATACACACACACACGCGCGCGCGCGCGTATTATATAGAACACGGCATTTGCCCAGGCCTGGCGGGCCGACTGGCTTGGCATCCGCAGCCTGCTCGCGCTCTATTCGTTTCGTCGTATACTCGTCGTTCTTGTCGTTTCTCCAATATATATATATATATAGTAAGTGAGTAAGCGGGTACACATCAGAGCTTCGCATCATCAGCCGAAGAAGAGCCTCCATGCACACAATACGTATATATAGCTTTCCCATTCCCTCCCTGTAACCCGACGTTATCCTTTTGCCTCCCCTGCATGGCTCTCCTCCCCCCCCTCCCTCCCCCATACATATACATACAGCATATAATATTATAACATAAACCATTGAACCATACGCGTTTCGATGCCCGACGATGGTGTCGCTGCACCACCGCCAAATAATATGCTTGAAGCGCGATGCAGCTGCTGTGTAAATACCTATCTCGTATACATTATTGGTGCGCGACGGTGGCTGTGCCTATATAGATCCCTCTCATCTGTTGTAAAGCATTGTAGGTATCCTATGTGCGCGTAATAGAGAAAACAATAAACGTTTAACTTTGCCCTCCCCTGTAATAGGAAAACGCGCGAGAGACTAATGAGAAGGGAAAAAAAAAGAGCCAATAAGTATAGTAGGGTAGGGGTAACGGGTACAGTTGTTGACCCCCCCCCCCCCCCCGATAGTGATTGACCGTCACATGCATTTTTAAATGGAGCCTTTACATATAGATATACAAATTATACAGGGGTCAATCACTATACCTTAAGGTGTCAATAACTGTACCGTTTACCCCTATGGGTGCGGGTATGGGGAAGGAACAAAAACGGAAGGTACTTGAATAGGACTTGCGTTGTACTTTCTATGCTCATAATATATCTATTTATTTCTGGCATGGGTATTATATATATTATAGAGAGAAAAAGGTATAAGATTCGCGACTGGCATCGGAGAGTTTGGATAAATTATAGTAGTGGTGGAAGGCTATATTATTATATGTATTATCATTATTGTGTACGCGTATGTGAGCGCGGTCGTGCTATTTTCGAAGTAACGCTCCCGACTCTCTCTCCATCTCTCCCTATAAGTACGCGTGCACACAGTGTGCGAGTAAAAAGCTATACACGCGCTTTATTCTAAACGCGCGCAGTTGACGAGTTCACAGATATAAGTCACGTGCACAGCTGATACGGTCTCCGAGGCATACATGTATAACATATAAATATATAGTTGCGCTATTATAATATGTCTTCTCCCTTTTTGTTCTTAATAGATGTTTCAATGTAAGCTATTGGGTCATTCATTATCATTTCGTACATGGTTATCTATACTTATTCGTTATTTTTATAGGGTCACCTATATAATATATAATGTGTAACTAAGTATAACAGGTGGGATGAAAATAATAATTTGAGACAATTCGCTGGATTTCGCAAGTAGGTATATTAAATAATATAGTATTCTTTAATAAAGAGACTGACTACTTATGCGTGTCTCGAGTCCGAAGATGTATCTATATGTGGTATAAATAACGTGGGAATATTATCAAACAGTATAATATAGGTGTATATATTTATACCTACATTGTGATGCACAAATGGTAATTGCTATGTGTATATATAATTATATAAATGCACAAAAAAAGAAAGAAAGAAAGAAAAAGACACTTACCACCAAACAGTGCGGTGGGATCCAGCAAGGAGTTGGCCTGATCCGCCTGGAGATGGTCAGGGGTGGAGGTGGCGCCTGGCGTAACGGTCGCATCGCCACCTCCGCTGCTCCCGCCTCCTCCGCCGCCCGTCCCGGTGCTCTCCTTCTCCATGCCAGTCCCCTGGAAACGGTAACGCCAAACTTATAACGTACACAAGATAACGCAACCCTCCCCCCCCCACAGAATTTTCATTCTCGTTCTCATTCGATACAACCCCCTTTTTTACCCCCTGCCCCTCGTACTACTTTAACCTCTCACATTCACGTATACCTATACTACTTTAACTAACAGCTTTCGACGTTGGATTAAATCTTGCGTATATACCGCGTTGAAATTCTTCGTTTCCCAATACGCGTAGAATATAGAAAAAAAAAATTAATTTAATCTCTAATTGGTACCGTTATCGATCGGATAGATAGATGTATCCTGAAATTTAATTTGGCGCAGGTTATTCGGGGGTTTTCGATCATAAATACATCTTATGGCCGTGACCACGACCTATGTGTATATATATATATATATTTAATCACTCCATTACCTATAGTTGTATACGTATCGAAAGCAACAAGCGATAATATTAAATGACGATTGTGATAAACATGATTGTTGTCTCCCCTCGTTTTGATATACATTACGCCTGTAATGGGGCAATAAAATTCTTTCGTCTGATCGACCAGTATAAATTAAAATTGAAAATAATTTACAAGCCAACGGGATTATCTATAATATTAGCAGCCAAAGACGAGCCACGTGGTAAATTAATGTGTGTAGACAAATTGCGCCTAATGAGCCAGATTGTAATAACTCGATTTTAATCCTCGGCTCTCTTTCCACACCGATCATATACTTATACACATATATTATGATACATGTATATACTTATCACGCATTTTTTGCTAGTCGTAATCATAAGTAATTTTATGTTACATCAAAAGGATACTATAACTTTTACAACTATTTTTCGAGCTATTTTTAACAAGATGTCGAGTGACTTTTACACCGTGAGTCCCAAGTGATGTGATTTAAATGACATCGCGTTTAAAGTGCTTATAGGAGATAAAATTAATAATTTTTTTTTTTAATGCTTTACCTACAGTAAGTATAGTGTTGATAAACGCTTTGAGTAAAACCTAATCGATGCTTCGTATTGCATCATCCGTTTCATTGAATTAACTTTCTTCTTCAACGATTGACATAAGAAGACCATTGAGTTATTGGATTTTACACTATATTTATAAATATATGCATGGTAAATCCGTGGCAATCAAGATTTTTCCCTCCGCAACCTTTCAATGAAAATTCATTTTAATAAAAAATAGCACCGTCAACTACTGAACGCCTTAAAAGTGTACCAAAACATATTCTAACGTAAAAAAAAGGTCCTACGTAGATTATACTCTTTGCCCACTCGGAAAAAAAAAAAAAAAAAAAAAAAAAAAAAAAAAAAAAAAAAAAAAAAAAAAAAATCATTTAGAGATCGTATACTTTTCAAAACCAAATTTACAAGCTACGGCGTAAAAGTTTCAATTCAACGTCAAGACGCTCTCACGCGCGAGTCATCACCCAATTACCCTATGGAGCATCGGATTGTCGATTTTACCCGATGCGTGCGGTAATTCAATAATAAAAAATTGCCACCGGCGCAAGCATCAACTGCACGGCGACCTGGATAAATGAATGCGCGTGTATATATACGTATATATACACGGACCATCGGCAAACGAACGAGCGAGCAGAAGAAGGAAAAACCGAGAGAGAGAGTTCGACAAATGTATAGAGAGAGGGACGAAGTCAACACACACTCTCGCACTCCCACAGAGGCCGGTTGCAACGAGAGAGAGAGAGAGAGCTGTTGGTAAGAGCGAGAGGCGGAAGGGAAGGCGAGGAGAGAAAGAGAAAATAAGAGAGCCAGGGAGGACCGGGAGGGTGTTGGAAAGAGAGAGAGAGTGCAGCTAGCGCTGCTGCTGGTGTATATATATAATACCGCTGCAATCAATACAGAGTCAAGCAGCCGCCGGAGCAAAACCATCCCTCGCCTCGTCGTCGGTCGTATACATAGGTGGGCCTGTATATATACACTATATACGTACGTGCATTCTATATAATATTATTTGGTACCTACGTGCATTTTCGTTCTTCTCTCCCGTGTGCGATTGCCACGCGCTGCCTCCCCGCAGCCCCCATCGGATGTATTATCCTAATACGCCGAGCGCGCCCTCCTCGTCACTTATGTCCGATGCCCCACGAGGGGAGAATCTCGCGGCATCCCTCCCCCACCACTGCCTTCTTTCACTTTTATGAACTTTCATACCACCCCCCCCTTTTTTTTATTTGATAGCCCCCGGTTATTGTGCCTATACGTCCGACTTTGCAATTTAATTGCACAAGAGCGAAGAAAAGATAAAATATAAATAAATAAACAACATCGAGAAATATATATTACACGTGCCCAGTAGTACAATATAATATAATATATACCTAATGCATTATGGTAAAATGTTCCGGTTGAAAAGGCGGAGAGACGCGATTTTATTTCATTGCCATTTGTTCTCATCTGGGAGAATCAAACGAAACATACACATTTAGGTATGTACAATATAATTTTGGAGGAAAAATGCAAAATTAAACTTACGGTTAGTTGTGTGGCTTCAACTCATAGTTGATACTCTTCCGGCGAGGTTTCATTACACACCTGGAACAAACATTTAATTCGATTGAATTATTATTGGTACTCACGCACACCCATTTTTATTTGATATTATGTAAAGTTCATATGAAAGATGAAAAAAAAAAAATCTCAAAAATAAAGAGTATAGAACGGTAGTAGGCTCTAAAACGCGCGTCTTAGGTTGTTGCTGATGTACGAATGAGCCGGGTACTTGAACTCGAATTTTTTTTTTTTTACGAGTGTTATACCCCCTGTACGTATAGGTATATGGATCGCGGGAAAGCCTGCTTCTATTATTCGTAATTGATGGAGTGGTTTAATTTTAACGGCGACTGCATTACTTGGACATAAAATTTTACGTTTCTGGTACATACTTGTGCATTCCGCGGGACAGGATCAATTATTATAGGTATACGTAAAGAATAAACGTGTGCGAGAGAGAGAGAGAACATTTGGTGCAAGGCCGCGCGAGAGGAGGAAAAGAAAAGGGGAAGAATCACACATTTCGCATTGTGGGTACACTTATATTATAGTCCATATCACCACACAGAGAGAGGAAGTACACGCAATATGGTTTTAATAATCTTAGCATTGGTAGGTATGCACACCTATGCACAGACCATTTAAAATATGACGTTTGGCCCACATATGGTGCCTTTCTTTTTCTTCTTCTTCTTCTGTTTTGACATACGTGTTAAGAATGTGAAAGTACCGAGAATATATATAATCCAAGAAAAAAAAGAAACCGTAGGCACTCAAATGATTCGAACGGAAAGATATATATAGGGCACACGAGCCATTGTAACATTAGAACGAGTAAGTATAACACTCGAAAAGTGCGGCTAATCGATTAAACCCAAAACATATATACGACAATTTCAAGCTCGTGAGTACTCAAAATAACAATGACTCGCGCGGGAAACGGACGATGCATTAGAATATGTTATATCCTTTTTTAAGCGCCCCATACGATAACACACCACTAGATAATTGGTTTTGAATTCGCGGACACTTTTACCGGGTGAACGCAGTTATTATAAGCGATGAGGGAAACGGCGATGTATGGGAGGAAAAGGATATAAAACGTGTGCTTGTGTATATGTATATACGTGCAACTTCTCGGTTGGTCCCTTTCTCTCCTTTTTTCTTTCTGGACTTGGGTTACGGGCGCACAGATCGATACGCACACTCGGAACACCACCCGCCCTCCCCCCGGTTGGGGTGGGGCAGAGAGAGAGAGAGAGAGACTCACTGCTATATACTCGCTCGAAAGGGCAGCTTGATATTGCGACATGCACGGGAAGGGACCAACGCCACGGTCTCGTGTATACCTATATATATACATATGGGAGCGACGACGAGTTTTTGTGCGTGACTCTCGAAGCCCCCCCTTCTTCTTCTTCTTCTCTCTCTCTTCCACCTCGTCGTCTCTCTTTTCGCTCTTTTGCTCGCTTTGCTATAATATACACTCACTGGTTACATATACCTGAATACGTGTGCTTTCTCTGCGCGAATGCGAACATCAGTGACGAGGAAGCGCCAGAGACACGTTATACTCATTTATACGTGTATGAGAATATATATGTATATATATGTCTATATGTGACTCACGCACACATTATTAAAACGCGCGTACTTAAACGCGCTTTCTCAGCCACGTCGACACTTTTCGCGATTCGCGGCCGTTTATAATTCGGGCGAGGTGTAGGTATTTGCACTCACGCCTGTTGTATATTTTGCAAATATTACCAATAGGTTGGTGATGAGCCCATTTCTTCCGTGGTACCACCTTCCTCTATCTCTCTTGCCCCTCTGCAACTTGCACTTTTATTTTATTGCGCATACATGACAATGTACACAAACTTTGGAAACACGCATATATTATATTATACATGTCTTTGCCATTTCTTAATATTAATTGAGAAGTGATGTATACTTATGTGCGCGTATATATATACTTACACACGCGCGCCCCATTTCGATCAAATGGAGTGTATGTTATTATTATTATTATTATTATTTCTCTATACGTATCAGTTGTTGCGCGCAACACCTGTTTAAACTCGAGCTTGCGTTTATACAAGTTATCTTCATCTCGAAGTGAGATATATGCATGGCATCAATTACCGAGATTTTCCTTTCGTTCGATCCGATCATCCTTATAATATATACATATATTAACCTATTACGTTAGCCCAACTTTTTATCAACTGTCGTATAACTCTCATGGGGGGGGGGGGGCTTTTTTACGATTCACACTTGCCTATGGCTAGTATACGTACATTATGATCTTCGAATTAGTGACTTATGGCAAGTCAACAGTATGGAATATCGGAGCATACTGTTGTCATATATTTTTATAAATTCCCATTAAAAGTACGGGGATGATGATGATATGTATAGCGGGAGAAACGGCCCCTTAACGCGATCGTTACATGAACTTAAGCGCTAGTGCAGCGAACGACTCTCGATTGGAGGTCAAACGACCCAACGGGGATGGATCAATTAAGTGTACATGGTATATAGTATATAAATACCGAATGTGGTATGTTATAAGTATACGCCCGTGGAGATGGCGAAACGACAACACCCTGGTTGTTAAACTCATTATCTTATCTTTCTCTCTCGAATCACTCGATCGCAGCTCTCTTAATTATTTACGCGTGTTTAACTTTTCTCTCTCTCTCTCTCTCTCTCTCTCTCTCGGTTGACGTTTTAATAATCAAATGTGTTACGCAAAAATCCACCAAAACAGCTGCAGGTATATTTTTGGCGGATTCCTTGGTTTTTTTTTTTTTTTTCTTTTTCGGTTCAATTCGCTCCGCTTTCTTTACAAGCGCTGTATGTACCGCGAAAACGTATGTGTGTGTGTGTGTGTACAACTCTCGCGTGGAACTACCCGAAGAAGAAGAAGGAAGGGGCGGGGGTAAGGCGATCGATGCGCGTTTATGTATATTTCAGCGAGTTTTCGCTCGAACGAGGGGAAACAAGAGCCAATAATTTTGGAAAGGCTTTTCCAAATTTTCGAAACGACGAGCCGAGTTTTAAATGCACGCATGAAGGTTACGGTGCGTTAAAATGGCACATATACACGCGCATAATCGACATAGCATTGTTTTGATTAGAAAAAAGGGGTCGCTGTCATTTGCGCTGGTGGAATATCAGTTTAAGAATTCGTATGAACAAGTTGGTGCACGTGGTGGGAAACAACGACACGTATATAAAAAAAAAAAAAAAAAAAAAAAAAGTGGCACAATCGAGTTTCGTGCAGTGAATCTCGAATTTTCGGTTGTATCTGACATGTTACCGAACGCCTCGAAAGATAGCCGAGAGCGAGAACCACCTATACCTCCACAGAGACTTGGCCATCGCCAGCTGTAAAATTCAAGAGAATCGATACCTAGCCAGTGCGCGCGAATCAACTCCTCGGACGACGAAATTCCGTGAAAAATCACAAACTCTCTCGCGTGACTCTCGACTTCCATGTCGCCTATGTATATATATATATATATATGTATAACATCGGGCAGCGACGCTCGCCGCACTCTCGCGTGTGTAAAACTGTATTCCCTCTCTTTCTCTCTGGGCATTTGTGTGAGTCGCACATTATGTGTGCCGCATGCATATACCGCGGATCGCGCGCGCGAGAATGTGGAGCGCATCAAAGAGGCGTCGCGCAAAAGCTACACAGGGGGTACGGTATATACGCTATATACGCTTTGCTCCTCATATCCCGTACAAGTATATAAAAACACTTGACGCGTGATGTACATGTATATAGGTTTGCCTAATCTATGTTATACACAATTCGTGCAGCCTATGTGTATATATATGTATTGCAGATTCGCTTGTTTAGATGAGCACGTGAGCCGATGATTTTTGAAAATCAAGTAGTAAGTAAATACGCAGCCACCTCGTGAGGAGAGCTATTAAAAAGAAAAAAAAAAAAAAAAAAAAAACTCGCGCGATACCACGGATACATCGAGGAGGCATTACAGGTATCCGTCCCGGTTACATACCTACAGGTATAGTACACCCGGGGTGCTCGCGTTATACTTCTGATACGTGTGGGCGTGCCACGTGTGTGTCATGCGACGAGGAGGCTCGTTCTCTCTCTCTCACTCGGCCATCATCGACACCAGTGACACCATCAAGCTCCTCGGCGTATTCCGCGACTCATCTCTCACTATGAGACCTCATTGCACCGCCGCCAGCTGTTTCACTGCGCTTGCAAAACTCAAGCGCCTTAAAGACTGCATACCTAGTGATACAAAGCTACTTGTCGTTCAATCACTGGTTTTTCCACGACTCGAGTACTGTGCAGCGTTGCTTTACGGACTTTCGGCCGAGATGACGACCAAATTAAGTCGATGCAAAAATGCCGCTCTCCACTTTGTCGAAAACATGCGCAAATTGGAACACATGACACCAGCATACCGCAAACATCACATCCTGTCTTTCAGCAGCAGGATCCTCTACTGCATGCTTATAGTCTGTTGGCCTGTGTCCTCAAGACTGGAATTCCTACCTACCTCGCAGATAGGTTTGCCTTTAAAATTACGTTGTCGGATAAAGTGTGTTCCAGAAGATCAAACACCAAAGAACTCTTCGTACCCAAAGCCGCTCTGGACATATTCAAAACTTCATTCACTGTCGCAGCGGCCAGAGAATGGAACAGGTTACCTGTCAGTCTCCGTATGAGTTTCTTTAGACTCGGCTTCAAGCACAGACTATTGGATTTAATTCGATCACGAGACAACCGGCTACACGACCCTCAATCTATGGTGGATTAATGCTTATACTTATTACCAGTGTCAAATTTCTTTTATTTATTTACTTGTTTTTCTGCGCCATTGTTTATGATGACACATATTTTTGCTGCTATGCAGCTCTAATGTATCGATCTCTTTGTCTGATATGTACTAACCTTGTCAAGGCTATTCTGGGACTATGGCCCTTAGCCTAATAAATCTAAATCTAAAATCTCTAAAATCTCACTGTGCAGCGTCTTTTTTTTTTCCCGCTGCTTTACTTTGGCTCGGCTTCTCTCTCTACATCATCAGGAGTATCAGGACTGCTGCTGCGCGTCTCCTCTCTTTCTCTCTCCCCATCTTTTTATAATGACCTTTTTCTTTTTATTTCTCGTTTCTCGTTCGGACGAGTCGCTGCGCGACGCTCGTATATATCTATATATATATATTGGCCCCGCGCCGCCATCGCTGCCGTTTCGTTTTTAATTCCCTTAGCTTTTGCGCGAGCTATTCTCTCGTGATCTGGCCCGCGTTTCGCATTCCGCTCTCTCTCTCTCTCTCTCTATCCTCGCACACACGCCGATTTTATTTTTTGTATTGCCTCTCTACCGTATACCGCAGCGTCAGTGGTTCGAGTGACACTGCATGGTTTTTGCTTGATTGACGAGAGAGAATGATCCCACGTTCCAACGATGGGGGTTTTCTTTTTTAGTCATCCCAAAGGCTGTTCTCCGTGTGTTTTGTATACCCTATACCTTTGCGACCCATGCACCCCCCTCTCTCTCTTTCACCAAACTTTGCGTTTTCGCTATAAATCCGGCGAGTATAGGTATATTATTTCTCATGGGACGATGCTTACTTCGAATCTCCCCCCTCAACTTTTTCACACATCACGCGCGAGGCGAACCATACTTTTCATTACGAGGCCCCCTCCCCTTTATAAATCTAGTTTCAATTTGGAGTGCATATACGTTGTACTGTGCATTTGCCCTGCAACAACTACTAATACGGAAACTTATACTTTTTTTTTTTTTTTTTTTCTTTTCCATTCCGAAACTTTCACTTTACCTATAAGTGGTATACTCAAACTCGAGGAGCACAGAAGAAGAAGAAGAAGAAGCAAATTAAATAAGTAAACAGTGGTTTTTAATATAATGTCGAAAAGCTCTCAGTTTAGTCGTCGAATCGTCGCTCGTGTATCGCTTATTCTTCAAGTTTTCGCAAAACATCTCCTCCTCTCTACCCATTCTTTTTTTTATTCAGCGCCCCTTTCTTACATTACATACATAATATACAATAAAGGGGGATGGACACGTGCACATATATATATATACCTGTGTATAAGCATCGCACACAAATATTGGCATCAGCGTTGATGCGTGAATATATATATAATATAATAACGAGAACAACGACGCACTCGTTTTAATTTCATTTCACTCAATGAAGGGCGAAAAGGGGAGGAGGGCAAGCCCCGCATCTCCCTATAATAGCGGTGCAATAAAAAAAGAAAGCCAACTTATAACGGAGATGCAAGCATGTATATAATAATGTGTAATAGAGAGAGAGAGGAGGGGTGGAAATGAGCGGAATAATATAAGAGGGCGTACGGAGCGGTATATGGCGAAGTGGAGGCCCTCTTTCTCCTCGATCCCGAGCTGAGATGATTAATTTCGCGTTAGGCCAAGTGCTTTTTTTATTTTCCAACTGAACGGCAGTGCCGAGGAAGGGGAGGGGGTGGATTTTCCACGAGAATCAATTTAACAACACCGCAACTAATCACACGGTAGTCAAATGCAAGCACATATATATATATATATATACAGGTAAAGTACTTTTAGGGGAGGGGGGGGGCAGAGCACCGTTAACAATAAACATTGAGGATTTTTGATCCCCAAAAGTTTGACCCAACTCGTTCGAGGGACACGGAAGTAAGGAATTACTCGGAATTACTTCTCTCTCTCTCTCTCTTATATCCAGTTTGGGGGCAAATCGTGGGGTAAGTATTACAACGTAATAGAGGGATGGCTGGCGTCTCTCGTGCCTTGCACGACGTGAACCGTGTGTGTTCCTCGTAAGCGCGTTGCCCACGAAGAGAGAAAGAGAGGGAGTTCTTTGGTAAGCAACACCATGCATACACACACACACACACACGCGCGCGCGCAACGTTATACAAAGGGGAAAGAAGACGCGTGCGTGCGGTACGTATATATAAGTATGGATCACCGTACGTGTGTATTTGTATGGGTGGATATAGGTGAAAGAGAGCCCATAATGTACGTACCTATATTAACTATATTAAGTGTATACGCGGTGGTATTTGGTATAGTTTGTACCCGCACACACGTATGTACCATACGCGAGTTTTGTTACAAGGGGAGGGTGCGAGGGGGTCAATCGCAGATCTATACTTACAGGGAGGGGAGGGGGAGAGCAGCGAGGGATCGAGTGTGTATGTACAGCCGGCGTGTAACGTCAGCCCCAAAGTAAAGAGTATATGATGTGTTGTATATATGATATACGCGCGCACGCAAGGGAAGGATAAAAAAAAGTGCACGCGGCTTTCGTTATTTTCGCCATCGTCGAGAGAAGGAAGAATGGAAGGAAACCTACAGAGGTAGGTACACGAGAGAGAGAGAGAGAGAGAGTTTCGTGGGTTCTTTCTCGGCTGCCCTTGTCCGAGTATTGAGCCGCTGCCTGGTGGTGCTGCGCGAGGCGCAGAGGAGGCCAGAAAGTGCGAGAGATAGATGCGAGCGGGCGAGTAAACGAGGACGACGACGACGACGACGACGGCAACGAGGAGGAGGAGAGAGATGAAAAAGCTAGGGACATATATATAGCAACGACGACGCGCCGGCACATCCATGCCGTATGTATATATACACCAAAGGCAGCGTGTTGTAGAGTGTGCCGATCCAGCAGAGCCGCATTTCAAAGAGAGAGAGAGAGAGAGAGAGAAGTTTAACGCTGTACACAGAGCCATGGGACGCTGCGAGGCTCTTTCCTCCCGTGTGTCCCATCCTCCTCGTCGTGTACAGCGGCAGCGTGGCGTCCACTGCCGCGAGTGGAGAATTCTCCAATCACGCTCTGCACCAGCAGCCATATAATATACACACAGAAACGAGCATCCCCGCAACAGCTATATAACGCAAACTCCCTTTGCTTCTTCTTTCCCTCCGTTGCACCGTTCCTTTCTTCTTCTCCTTCCTTTATATTAAGTGTATATATATATATATATATACGTGTACATCCCTCGTTTGGTTCATCTCCTTTTCCTCATCCTGCAGCAGCCGCCTCGTCCTTCTTCCTCCTTATTTCTCTCTCTCTCTCTCTCTCTTGGCTCATCTGCCCAGATTCTTTGGAGGCCTCCACCCTCAACCCCCCCCCCAGCCTTACCTACATCATCTCATCGCCTCAACATACATTCGAATCCCATTCGTCCATTTTGTCAAGATAAACACTGTCTTCTCCTGTTTTAACTGTATCTATTATTATTACTATTATTATTATGAAGTATTTTATCTGTGGAGCGTTTATTGCACGCTTATCGCTTCAAACACGGTTGGTTGGTCAACGCGGGGAGCGTGTGTAATGCCGTTCATTCATCTAATCGCCAAAAATAAAAATAAGAAGAAAAAAAAAAATACGAGTCCGTTCCGGCTTGTTCAATGAAGTTTAAAAACTGACAGAGTATTTATGCATGTGTTGTATATATTTACTACGGCTCGGGAAAACGTGACGAGGCAGCTCTAATACCGGCTGTAGTATTTGCATTTATAATGAGAGAGGAGTGAAAATATACTTGTAGCGGTAGAAAAATTTCAAGTCTCGTGAGTCTCGGGTGTTGTTGTTGTATATATTTATGCTTTGAATGTTATGAGACATTGAACGAATTTCAGGGAAGCGTGAAACAAAAAAAAAGGTACAAATTTTTCAACTTACGGTGCGATCAATCGACAAAGTCGTCTTCTTATGGGGTTGTGGGCACAATAACACCGCCGTCGCGCGTTTTCCGGGAATATGTAGTCTTGGTTTTTACATTTGACAGATTTTTTTCGGAATTAAGTACTGCCTTTCAACACATCACCACCACAACAACAACGGGAACAAAAACACACTGTCACAGTACACAGATGTATTGTATCGAATGCTTCGGCAAAATCACAATGACACATTTATTTTTCTCTTCCTCGACAATTCATCGGTATTTCTTCTCTCCCTTCTTTCGACCCGTCCTGATTACTTGTTTCATCAATTTTTCTAATTTTTTCACTCGATCCTATGCACGTATAGGTGCTTCCGCTCGTAACAGCTGAATCGATTTTCCGGAGAACTTTTTTTTTGCACCTGCAGTAGCCTTCACTTCGCTAAACCAATTTTTCTACGTGCTGCACTTGGCATAATACAATCCTGAAACACAAGGAAGTACGATTGTTTTATTAATTTTTTTTCTCTTTCGTTAATTTCATTTGCGTATCGATGAAATGATGTAAGACATTCTGTTTCTTAGAGTTTGTATACAGTTGAAAATAACGGAGGCACACGCACGTATCGTGTTCCTTGGAAAAAAAAAAAAAAAAAAAAAAAAAAAAAAAAAAAACCGATTTGTGTTGAAATGTCACGATAAAATTTCTCAAACGCTTAAGTTTCGTGTGATTTTGAAATATTTGTAATTCATGTATTCGTCGGCAAAAATTATTTTCAACAAACTACAGCACGTGAAATAAAAATCCGATTTATTGATTTGTTTTTTAATTGATTATCTGCACGAGGGTGCGAGTAAAATAACGTATTGTTATGTAAACAAACATTCAAGTGATTAAAGTAAAAGTTCCGTGTAAACGCACATCAGAACAAACTTTAAATTTGATATTTTCGTTTTTAATTCAGCGGTTACTCAAATAAATTAGGATCTCACAAAAACACAGCTATGCGCTAATTCAAATAATACGTTGAGTTGAAATGTACGTGAAAAATAATGATATGACATTGTATGATAATTTGGTAACTTTTGGAGCTCAGCGCAATACCAATGGAAAGTTAAATTTACAAGTACGTATTGAAAAAACGGGGGGGACCATCGTGTTTTCCCATACAACCATTGTGTGTGATGAACGTTATAAAGAAGAATTAAAAGTTAATCGTGCACGCTGTTTGTCAAACGTTGGCAATTTGGTGAAAAATGGTTTCGCTCTTTCAATAAATAAATAGAAAGTGATGCGTCGAGGAGGGGAAAAAAAAGGTGACATTCTCTCATGTGCGGCATATAAGTGTAGCAAGCGGCTATATGTGATGCTTAGACCGTGTCTGTCTGACTGGCTATTCCGGATGGCGGACCGGCCGAACATTTGTTTCTCTCTCTCTCTCTTCCTTTCGCGACTGATGCACGAAAATTGCTAATTCATTTGTGTGACCAAAGGCTGCACACACACGCGCAATCGTTTTTATTTTACGATGCAATTGTCACTGTCATTCATAGTCGCATAGATAAATCCTATTTATCTCCAAATTGATATACGTGTACAATAAAAATCATTATTTTATCTTCAACAAAAAAAAAAAAAAAAAAAAAAAGATATAATGATGGACATGAAGGCAACGATTGTAGTCTCGTGCAGTCCGTATCAAGTGTATATACCTAAAGCCCGATAAGCTAGAGTTCAAGTTGCGAATTGAAAAATTAAGTTGGCGCGCGCGCGCGCTCTTAAAAAAAAGCCGCCAAACGTAAACAAAAACAAAGTTTTGATGGGTGAAAAAAGTTCGTCTGTCTATTTACTTAGTAAAAGCTGTTTTGCAAAATAGTTTTTTTCAGGAATGAAAAAGAGATCGAACAGAGCAGCGAAGAGTCATAGTTATTACAAATGTACGTCATGTAAAAAAATGGAGCATGTCCAAAAAAGAGCGCACGGAAGAAAGTGAAAATTTTTTTGCAGAAAGATGCAGCAGCAGCCGGAGCCACATCGAGAGAAAATGCTTTCCAGTTTTGTCGCCCGATGATGTATGTATATAGGCGTAAAAAAGAACAACGGGTTCGTCGTTACGGTCCGTAAGTAATGTAATCTGCAAAAAGTTCTCGCGTTATTGACGCTCCTCCCCGCAACGTCCCTCGGTCTCGCTAACCTAACTCTCGCGCACACCTATTACACATACAAAGCCGCGCGCCTTCGTTTTCCCGTTATAGCAACCGACAGCACCAGTAGAATAGTTATACTCGTATATGCATACACGCAATCCGTGGACTAGGTAGGTACAATTACAACCTCTACCGATGTATCGTATTGGTACCTATATATATATATTCCGCGCGAGCTTCGCGTGTGAGAGTATGCGCCTATATCAGATGTATGTAAGAGACAACCGAACGTGTGTACGTGTGTTTATTGTATATAGATAGGCAGTACAGAAAACGCGATCAGAGAGAAAGAGATAAATTGACGAAAAAAATTGATGATAAAAAAAGTAAACTCACAACAGTCGACGATATCTTGCCGATGGAGGACTTTTGGAAAAATCAACTGACACTGGTGGACATCAAGTATAACGATATTATCTGCACCAATTGTTAAGTTCGCAGGTATTTTAGTTATACGCACAGGACTCACATCAGAACCAGAACGCACGTAATACTAAAAGACACACCTAAGAAGAAGAAGACTAGCGTTCCGAGTAGTTATAGCTCTTGTTGGGTAGGCATAACAATAATAATAATAATAATAATAATGTCCTCGTTGCTGCTGCTCCTTTTTTTTCCACTTGGCCCGCAAGTACTTTACATGTATATGTAGGTGTACGAGGTGTATCGGTCAGTCAGCCGTTTTTTATCATCTCCAACAACACTGGCACTCACATGAGCTGCGGTGGTTATTTAATTGAGCATCGGCAGCCTTTAAAGTGGATGAGACACTGCCGTTGATGGCCAAGAAGGAGGTACGGAGCGTGAGTCGCCGCGACGAGGATCGCGACCATGTCGCGTGGGGTATATATGTTATACTTATATGTTTTCGAGCACCACCACACTCCAGCAAGTCTAGATGGAGAGCATCGGCAGGCGGCGGCAGCGGCAGAGAGCGGGAGAAAGGGAAGGGAGAAAGGAGAGGTAAAAAAAAAAAAAAAAAAGGTATAATAAAAAGAGGAAGAGCGAGCGGCGGCAGGCTGCAGGCGGCAGCGTCGATGCGCCTATATATAGGTAAGGTGTACGACGACGACGACGATGAAGACGACAACGGCGGGCAGCGTCAGGCGCGTCAATGGAAAACTTTGGCGCATCCTCCAACTAGGTCCTCGGGCACGGGCTCGCTAATCCAGGAGCTCGTCATCATCGCGACCGCGCGCGCGTGCACTATTATTTATTATTATTCTCACTGTTACGGGTACACGACGTACCTCAGCCCTCGCACTCTCAACGAAATTTCGGGGTCGAGATAACTAAACTTGTTGATGAGCCCTGTTAAACTGCACTGTTGTTATCCAATTGTAGTGCAACCACCACCGCCACCCTCTCTCGCCAACCCCCGCGCGATATCACAATTATCACAACGAAATGGTAATGCCACACACAGTCCTTGCTCTTTGCTTTTATATATATACATGTATATGTACCGCTAGCCTAGATATTTGTATTATTATTGTATACACCCACACGTACAACAATCACGCACAGAGAGCACTGCAAAGTGTAGGTATACGTATATGTATACGCGTACTGGCGCCAGAGAGAGAAACGCGCGTTACCTACATGGTACAATGTATATAATAATATAACGCGCACAGCGCTGAGGAGGAGAGGATATTCGCACGGCTCGTGTAACTGGTGTGCTGCTGGCTGACTGGCCTGGCAGTGGCGTCACTCGCTTTGGATTCTCGGTCCTCGGCCGGACGAACGCGAAAAGAGAGGAGAGAGAGAGAGAGAGAGTGTGCAGCTGCCCGCGAGAGATGAGCTTGTGGCGCCCCCCGCCCCGCTGACCGAATATCACGCGAAAGTGTTGTCTTTATCGGCAACAAAGTCGCTCGAGCTCGAGTGATAATACTTCCTCGGATAATCTACCGCCGATCGCCGAGACGACCCTTTCATATAGTTTTATGCATCCCTCGCCACGACTATAATATAATATATTGCACCCTATTACCCTAAAAGTTATCTCCTGTGATTGATTGTTAACCGATTATTACAATTTTACTTCATTTTTCAACGGTGGATTTTATACATACAATAGTTTTAGTAAGCGTTACTCGTACATTGCTCGTTAGCTTAATTATTTGCTACGTCAATTAATTATTTTTATTTTCAATTTTACGTTATGTTTTAAAACTAACGTTAAAAATCGGCTACTTTCGGTATATAATTAACGTGTTTTCCAAACTGTTTTTTTTTTTTTTTTTTTTTTTCTTTTTCAATAAGGATTGATTTTTTCTGATAATCGCTGATGGACTAGCTTTGTGTGTGTGTTTATATACTCAACACATTGTTTACGTTATTTGAAAAATTGTTGTTAAGTGCCATTTTTTTCAAGTACAAATTCAAATGGTGCCACGTGTATACTTGTAGAGAAGACACCCAAAGCATATTTGATAATTATTTTTACTTTCGAATTTCATAGGATTTGTAGTGAATCATCGGCAAATTATCCTATGTTGGCGACTTTTACGATATTTTACGTTTGAATCTTACATTTAATTATATGCGGCTAGAAGGTAGAACGAGGTGAAAACCTTATACACGTTTAGTCACTAAAAGTAAAAATACATGTTTGTAACATAATTATTCACTATCGAGTTTTCTTAAACTTTAAGTAATGGATTTTTAATAGCGTAATTAGTTTTGTAATATCTTTACTCCTTTTAAGATAAGCCGGATAATTTATCGAAATTGAGAATCGAACGTGATAAATACAATATACACGTGTGAGTGTTTTCCTGTTTTCAAATCTTCCATTCTACTGTTAATTATATGCTTTACAGGTACCTTTCAGAATTTTAACAGTAGTGCATTGTGTCTCAGTTACATGGGAAAATACTAAATATACTTACCCACCGGACGACAATAAAATCAACTCTCATTACATTACACGCCATAGAATTTGGGTATATTCGGGCTACCGTTTACTTAATTAAAAAATAGAACCCACTGTTTTTTTTAAATGATGGAACAACTGTTTTTCATGCGTCTAATATTGAAAACTAACGAATTAGGTGTTGTTTTTTTTTATCATTGAAAAAACTCGGAGTTTGAAAAAAAATGTAATACTTAAGTAGTGCTACGAGAAAAAAAAAAAAAAAAAAATCATCCATCCAACAGACTTAACAAATCATTATTTAGTTATCAATCAAGACATCTTTCTACGATAAGAGAGAGAGAGAGAGAGAGAGAGAGAGAGAGAGAGAAAGAGAGAATGAAGGAGTACAATAAACAACAATTCTACCATAAAACAACCAAAACTGTGTTAAAGTAGACGATAAGCACCATTATAATTATAAATGATGAATAATAATACCACATATATTATTGAGTATAAAAATATCGGCTAATCAAAAATATACCGTAGCTATCCTCAAGATAGAATCGCAATCATATCCATATGGATATTAATACATCTCTAGCATTGCGGGATCAGTTTTTCTCGGCCAATCAAAGGAAAACCAAGCACATATATAAGTAGGGTCGGCGTACCCTTGAGTTTTGAGTATATCATTCGGCTGGTTCCAGCTCTCCCACTCCTTTTTATTATATCCAGCCATTCTAAAAGCATCAGCAGCGCGCGAGCCAACTGCCGAAACTGCGGCAGCGAGCAGAGGCGGCGGCACTGGCGGCGGCGGCGGCACGGCAGTATACCTACTCCTCGAACACTCCAGTCTCCAGTCATGCAGATTGTGTTGCTTACGGAGGTTCTCATCTACGACGCGTCGACACATAGCAATATACCTGTATATACACGCTCCAGAGAGACTGGACAGACTTGGGCGTGCGCGTAACTCTGCGATAAAAGACTGCACCATATACATTACTTTTACTATACCGGCTTTGATTTACGTTCTCTGGAAGATCTCCAGCATTGAATAGTATACAAACCAGGGAGATATAGAGATCGCATAAGGACGGAGGTTGGTGTGTCGGCAGCGCATTTGTGTACATATAATATATATATATATACGTACCTACACATTGAGGACATCTATCTCCACACACACCACGGACATCATCAGAGAGTTGTAGGTGAGTCCCGCGAGATCGTGAGCTGCTGACCATCTGCGGACTCCAGCGGTGAATACTATACATCCAGGGACGGTGTTGTGCGAGAGAGTGCTGGCTGTTTAGGTACCAGAAGTCATCGTACTTAATCTGGCACGACCATGAGCAAGACGTGCGCTCGCTGCGAGAAGACGGTCTACCCGATAGAGGAGCTCAAATGCCTGGACAAGGTGAGTGCTGAATATATACGTAGTACTCTTACATGCATGCATACATATATAACTACCAGCATAGAGATGATGATAATAGCAACAATAATATGTGTAACGAGTACACACAGCAGCCATACATATGTGTGTATATATAGCTATACTGTGCTGCACATTGGCAATAAGCTGTGCTTGTATATATGTATACAACAGCCCCTTGCAAATCCCTCCGTACCCCACCCAAGGCCCGAGCCCATTTCGGGCCCGATCTCCGGTATAATTGTGTATAGTTATACCTCGTGTGTACAGTTAGTGTGTGAGTTGAGTGACGTTACGAGGTAAGCGACACTTTCAAGCTTACGACCAATGCGATTATATTAATACATTACTTACTCTCTTTACCTCTTCAAAAATTAAGTACTTGGGTCTAATTAGACCCTTGTGCGGACTTTTGGTTGGGGCGTACGCCCGGAACTCTCTTCTCTACCATAGAATATCTGAAAGGATGTGGAATTTTGTGACCCGCCTAATTTGAAACGCGTATATTTTCTCAATTCCGTGAAACGTGGCACATTTTTTATAGTAAGAATTCCGTAAGATACAGCTGACAATTAAGTATCTTATCTTTTTTAACAGCTAGTGATAAAATAAAACACAATATGCAAGGAGCTTAAATCAAAATTAGAACGTTGTCTTTGACACACATGTAAAAGGTATACAATGCAAGTGCTAGGCTCAAGTATGACCTTCGCTCGTTGAGCGTCCAAACAGCATTTATACGCCCTATGGCCGGATACGCGCCAGCAAATGCAGACAGTTTCTTTTACATCGAAAATGCACACTAACGATAAGCTATTAAAAAACACTCGCAAAACAATGAATCATTTTTTTCTTAAAGGCGCAATACAAAGTGATACGAAGTGTCGGTAACGAGACAAATATGTAGTTAATAAAACTGTTTCTCAACCATTTTTAAGCATTAGTAACAGCTGGGAGAATTAGGAATTTGGGAAATTGAATTTTTTATTTTCGATAAACGCGTTCAATTGATTTCTACACTTTTTTCTTTTCAATTTTTTTAATTTTACTCGGTTTAAAAAAAAGTATTTACTACTGATTAAGTGTATTTCACGTTACGCGTTGTAAATCGTACCGTTACTAGTGTTATTAATTTTTGATTATCAATACATACAAACAATCGATTATTGATGTTTATCAATGTTATCAAAGAAAATAACTCAAGTTGCTTCATCCGATTACACATCTTTCCACCAGCAATAAACTATTATTTAAGAATTTTTATTAAGAATGTTTGTATTACTATTTTTGTTTCTTGGAACGTGGTAGTATTTATTACAGTTTTCAAAACCTTAGCACTGCAAGCTTCAATTAANAATCTAATGAAACGCTTTCAATGGAATCCTAGTATTATTCATACTTAGGTTTAAATTTTGCATAATAATTTATGCCATTTATGTGCGATACACTATTATATTTAATTTAATCTTTTGGTAAGCGTAAGCTGATCAGGTAGGAGCATGTAAAGCTTTTTATACCGCAATTATGATAATCAAAATCAAAAACAACATGCATTTTCTTTCAATAAAGAAATTTGTAAATCACTGTAAGTTTATTTAATGTTTATTGTGAATACTCAATAAAGTTATTATTTACGCAATCAATTTATTTACAATATTTTTTGCTATTTTACTATTTTTGTTTCTTGGAACGTGGTAGTATTTATTACAGTTTTCAAAACCTTAGCACTGCAAGCTTCAATTAATTTTTATACATATAAATACATGATTAAAGAAAAAAATCTACATTTTACTTTTTAACTCTTACAAACAAAAAATGCTTTTGTTTGAAAAACATTTTTTTCCGTATTTTTTCTAGTTTTCGATCCATTAGCCATCTATTGCTTAAGGGTAAGTGGTATGTGATGATGTCTTTCATTGTTGGCTAGAATAACGCCTATTAGTGCACTGCCCACCTATACGGTAAAAGAAAAAAAGTATGTCTGGGGCCCTATTGATTAAACGAGTATATCACATCTGAAGTTGAGTTTTTAGATCTCACATTTACGACAACCTTTACCCTTGTGGTCTCTAGAGGCTACACACTAAAAAACTAACTTATGCACAGTGCACAAACGTGATGCCACAACGTTGAGTAATGTATTTAGTATGCATAAAAGCACACGAAAAATATATTGACGTCACGTAATGCAGCACAGATACATCCAAATAATAAATCGTTAAACGTGCACTATATGAATTTTCAAAAATATAATTTTAACACCATAGCGTAAAAGACACGAGGCGACAGCATCGACGGTGCTTTCTATATTTATCTGACGTGCATTTTAGTGTTCCCCAAAGGAGTGTTGAGACTCAGGTTTTCTGATTGGTTGAGAAAAATTGTGCCCAACGATGGAGAAGTATTTATATATTCGTCTCGTCTGCAGATTTGGTAGCAATACATTATAGTCACCGCAGGTGCACTTTTATTGGTGTCTTATCACTCCCTGGAGGATCACTAGCACATTTAGTACAAAAGACGTGAACGAATTTGTTTTTATTGGCAGAGATATCTCTGTGAGTCTGAATGCAATTTTGCTCAAATTTGACCTGTACATCGTAAACACACACAATTTCAATGTAATATTCTTACCGCAACATCCAGTGTACGGTAAATAATTTGTTGTTACTGGATGGTGTAGATACTCATTAAAGTTAACTATTTTTAATCAAATTTTTTTTTTAATTAATCGAATATGAAAGAAGAAAATAAATTAAATATCTAAAATAGTAAGTACACAGAAATACATTTTCAATAAATATTGCTAAATTTTAATGAACTTCGCCAAAATCAGTATTAAATTGTTCTTTAAAAATGTAAAAAAAAAAGATGGTCAAAACTCATTGTCTATTAACTAATTTAATTCTCGATCAGTAGAATAGGAGGTTAAAGTAGAAAGTTTATGAATTTTTTTATTTCGGTAACTGTAGAGCCAATTTTATTATTCAAATTCGGGCTTCCTTCACAGAGTGTCGACTAAAGAGACGTACTTTAACATTCTTGAAATATGCATCTGTATGACGTTATCCACGAATACAATCAGTTGATAGCGAAAAAACAAATTTAGGGAACCCTGCAAATATTTGATAAGAAATAATTTTTGTTTTTCCGCCGCTATTATCACATACATATCGTAAATAAATGTTTTTCAACTGTTTTGAAACACAACTTTTACTGTTAATAATTTTTATATAACTTCTTATTGTTGCAAATAACACTATCACTGATTGAGCTTGAAGCGAATATTTAAGAGAATTTAACGTGCTCCAGCGACAAAATAAAAAATACGAGAGTAGAATTATTATGTATTAGTATACCCATGTACACATGGCTTGGATATATATCTTAGGGTTGCCTGCAAGTATAGCTTTACTTTTATCTCAGCTATAGACGTAAATAGATACCCAAATAAAAACTTAATGGGGCTGTAATAGTGCTAGGGAAGGGAACTAATAGCCCACTCCTAAAGCCTCCATTATCACCCTAAGTTTCTATTTGGGTACATTCGTTATGGTTTTCAATATGTAAAAATCTTACATTTTGTATCCATAGACATGCCATCCCATGATACTATTTTTTTCACTTTGTATCTTGTCACACGGACGTATTACCAACCATATTATAACAATTATGCAAGTCGTACTACATCTCTATACTAGGAGCGTTGTGATTTTACAACAGTTTTTTTTTTCCTCATACTGTGCAATGCGTCCTGAATTGCCGCGTCCCCTCCCTCTCTTTCGTTTCCTCACCACCCACTCTCTCGTTGGCGCGTTCCTCTCACTCTTTTACTTTCCGTGTAGGACTTATTCGAATTTAAAAAAAAAAAAAAAAAAACAGAATCCCTTTCGATTCGCTCCTTTCTTGTAACTTAAAATTATCGTCCCAACTTCTTTCACTTCTTGTAGGTACATCTTTCTGACGAAACTTGTATTTTTTTTCACGTATTTTCAATTAACTCAATCAATTATGTATTTTAATTTTTTACAGATATGGCACAAGCAGTGCTTCAAATGCCAAGGCTGTGGGATGACTCTCAATATGAGAACATACAAAGGTTTCAACAAACAACCATATTGTGGAGCGTAAGTATAATATCGATTCATCTTTATACATTTTTATTAATGGACTAACAATTTCTAGATTGAAATGCCTCATAGTTTTGACACAATTGTATAATGGACTTTTTTTATTTGTTGATAAAAATTATTACTTTCAATAAAGATACAATAACTTCAACTGCCTTTACAATACACTTTTACTGTCTGTAGCATAAGGAATCATTTCTAGAGTTGAGATGATTTTTGCTGGGACAAAGATAAAATTAAAGAAGTGCCGAGGGAACGGTGTCCTAAAGTTATACACTTTTCTGCTGATGGGCTTCTTACAAATTTCTAAAATTACTTACCTATAATTTTTTTTTTTTTTTTTTTTTTTTTTTTTTCGTAACTTACATTTTTACAGTAACAGTAATTTTTACTTTGCGTACTTTCAGGCACATACCAAAGGCAAAGGCCACAACAATGGCAGTGACCCCCGAATTGACTCGTATTGCCGAAAACACGAAAATCCAGAGTAATGTCAAGTATCATGCAGAATTTGAGAAGGCAAAAGGCAAATTCACTCAAGTCGCTGATGATCCCGAGACAATGCGAGTCAAACAGAACAGCAAAATTATTTCGAACGTGGCCTATCACGGTGAACTTGAGAAAAAAGCAATGATGGAGCAAAAAAGAACGATGACGGGAGAAAATGGCGAACAAATAGGTAACGAGACTTATGGGCACCTCTAATTGCTATCGTTCTTGTTTCGTACGAGCTCTCACATTTGTGTTCATTAAGCTTCGCACATTAGTGACATATTATACCTTAACAATTCCATAGAATTCGCTTGTTTTAGAGCCAAATTTTTTTTTTTTGTAATGCTTAGAATACGTAGAGTATACAGACGGCACGATCTCGCCAGCGAGTAGCGTTAATGCGAATCCCCCAGCACCGATCTCGACGCGACCGGCAGTTCAGTCGCCGGTACAGCGCACGCCTGGTCGTATTGCCGATTATGATCCACTGAAAGAAACCAGGCCTAGTCCTTACTCCGCTAGACAGGCCGCTACTACCGTCATTTACACGAGCGACAAAGGCCCAGGTAATTCTGATTTTTTGCTAGAGCTATCGCCTCCTTGTAATGTCCGCTTTTTCATAAACGATCATACCACCGATTGATTAATGACATGTGTATGTACACCTTGTCGTTCTATTAATATTTTTGATCATTACCGTGTTTAGTGACAAATCCACCGACACGAAAAATTGGTTCGGTTGCTGACATTGATCCTGTAAACGAGTACTATGGATCCCTCACCCCAGCTACGAATAATAATTACGTTCAGTCATCGCCACCTCCGCCAGTGGTAAACACAGGAGTAAGTTATTCAGTTTTTCAAATGATTTTTCTACAGTTAAGATGATAGTGTTAAAAGTGATAATTACTTTTTTTAGCGTGTATATCGAGCAATGTACGATTATGAAGCTCAAGATCACGACGAAGTAAGTTTTTGTGACGGTGATTTAATAATCAACTGTACAGCCATTGACGAAGGGTGGATGACTGGTCTTGTGCAGCGTACAGGGCGCCAAGGGATGTTGCCAGCAAACTACGTTGAGCCGGCTCAAATTTGAATTTTGCAAGCCTGTTGCTTTTTCATAAAAGCTGTTGTTGAAGAAAAAAAAAGAAAAAAAAAAAAAAACACTCCTGATAACGAAATGAGTGAGCATGTTAATTATAGAGTTTAAAGTCTACTGTTTAAGACGTTCAATTTATTTAACTAAGCGAAAAGTAACCAGTTCTTTTTAGAAGAAGTGCGTTACTTAATTTCTATTTGAATGCTAGACAATTGTCAGAGATGGAAAAATTTCTTCTCGCAAGTAGACTTCCAGAAATTAAGCTTGTTTAATATTTATTGTAATGGGCAGCAAGCTTTTTAAACTTACAGCTTATTCTTTTATTAACTTTAAAAGATGCTTTAAGTTTATGTTTAAGACTAAATACAAAATAAAAAAATTAAAAAATTATTAATTTATTGAATTTCGAGCAATAAATTTTTTGTTTAACTAATTTACTAACAATTGATTATGAAACATGGATTTTTATACATATATATTTTTTTTTACGGTATATATCTTTGAAAAATCTTATTGTGTGCAAAACTCGTGTATATTAATATTTTATACTTAGTTGAAATTTTCTTTTCTATATGTAAGGCTTCAGTACCTAAAAATTTTAATGTATGAGAATACTATTGAAACCAACGAGTCAGATGAAAACATCAAATCATCTCCCGTTAGTGCCTAAAACACATGTGTCTGTTAATTACTTTATTGTTTCCGTCTATGTGGTCCATTTAAAATATTCATAACTTGCTCTTAACATATTTTTAGCGTTTTATAAAGCATTGCCTGTCAATAGTCTTTACTTGCAGGCTTCGTTAATTGAATAATGTAATGTTTTGAGAGTTTTACGTTTTCATGTCATTTATTTATAAATATTTATTTGTAATATTTAATCATCAAAGAGCTTAAAAAACAGTGACAAC